CACTCAGTCGTGTCTGACTCTCTGCAACCTCATGGACTGCAGCACGCCAGGCCTCCCTGTCCATCACCAACTCCTGGAGTTTACTCAAACCCATGTCCATTGAGTCAGTGATGCCATCCAACCATCTCATCCTCTGTCATCCCCTTCTCCTCCCGCCCCCAATCCTTCCCAGATTCAGGGTCTTTTCAAATGAGTCAGCTGTTTGCATCAGGTGGCCAAAATACTGGAGCTTCAGCTTCAACATCAGTCCTTCCAATGAACACTCAGGACTGATCTCCTTCAGGATCTCCTTGCAGTCCAAGGGACTTTCAAGTCTTCTCCAACACCACAGTTCAAAAGCATCAATTCTTCAGCGCTCAGCTTTCTTTATAGCCCAACTCTCACATCCATACTTGACTAATGGAAAAACCATAGCCTTGACTAGACAGACCTTTGTTAGCAAAGTAATGTCTCTGCTTTTTAATATGTTGTCTAGGTTGGTCATAACTTTCCTTTCAAGGAGTAAAGGTCTCTTGATTTGGAACCAGTCTGTTGTTCCATGTCCAGTTCTAACTGTTGCTTCCTGATCTGCATACAGACTTCTCCAGAGGTAGGTCAGGTGGTCTGGTATGCCCACCTCTTTCAGAATTCTCCACAGTTTATTGTAATTCACACAGTTAAAGGCTTTGGCATAGTCAATAAAGCAGAAACATATGTTTTTCTGGAAAACTCTTGCTTTTTCGATGATCCAGCAGATGGCAATTTGATCTCTGGTTCCTCTGCCTTTTTTAAAACCAGCTTGAATTTCTGGAAGTTCATGTTTCACATATTGCTGAAGCCTGGCTTGGAGAATTTGAGCATTACTTTACTAGCATGTGAGATGAGTGCAATTGTGCAGTAGTTTGAGCATTCTTTTAGCATTGCCTTTCTTTGGGATTGGAATGAAAACTGACCTTTTCCAGGCCTACGGTATCTTCATCCAATGAAATACCACTCAGCAATTAAAAAAAAAATTACTGATACATACAACAACATGAATCTCTTAGACTTAATATTAAGTGAAAGAAATCAGACATGAGTGCACACTTTATGATTACATTTATATGAAATTCAAAAGTAGACAAAACTGATCGATGGTGATTTAAGTCACAATAGCAGTGGTTCCTGACAGCTGGAGATAGTAATAAGTAAGAGAAAGAACGAGAGAGCCTTCTGGAGTGCTGAAAGTGCTGCTTTTCTTTATCTGAGAGGCAGTGGTCACAAAAGTATAACTCAATGAAAAATTCACTGGCTGTACTAAGGCTTACATACATTGTTATATTTAACTTACACCACAAAATAATAATAATAATAAAGTGACCCTAGGAAGAAACTTATATAAGCATTATTCTTCCTCTAAATACATTTCTTTCTCAGAAAGCAGAAGAAACCAAGTTTTTTTCATGGATTAACACTTCCAAGTCTTAATCTCAGATATTATTAGCCTTAGAGAAAAAAGTGAAACCAAGTTCAATATCCCATATACTGATCCTGACATAGTTGTGCTTTTGGCAAATTATATGTAGCAGCACATACAATCCTTAAAGATAGTTCCTACTCTTGATCTCTGAAAGAAGTTCTGGGAGCAGTTCTTAAAACGGAAAAGAATAAAAACTATAGATAACTCCCCTTAAAGTGCAACTAGCAATTATGATGGAGAAGGCAATGGCAACCCACTCCAGTACTCTTGCCTGGAGAATCCCAGGGATGGGGGAGCCTGGTAGGCTACAGTCCATGGGATCACTAACAGTCGGACACAACTGAGCAACTTCACTTTCACTTTTCACTTTCATGCATTGGAGAAGGAAATGGCACCCCACTCCAGTGTTCTTGCCTGGAGAATCCCAGGGACGGGGGAGCCTGGTGGGCTGCCATCTATAGGGTCGCACAGCGTCGGACACAATTGAAGTGACTTAGCAGCAGCAATTATGATATAAACAGAGTCAAAACTCTCTTACTTATTAAGCACAGATACCAGTGGGCAGCAAGAAAAGTTATCAGGCATGTACTCTTTTCAGTCTATTTCAATTTCTCAAGTAAACAATGAAAAGTAAACACTTACAAAAGAACAATGGAGTGTAAGTATATAAATGGACCAAACATCATTTTACATAATAGTTTTTAGAATAAAGGCTTTGGCATCAAATTGCCTGGCTTGGAATCCCAGCTGTACCACTTACTCTGAGTTTCATTCTTCAACTCCAAGCTGAAATACTAACACAACTCCATAGTGTTACTATGAATACTGAGATAATACCTATTAAATGCTTAGTAATCAGAATACCCAGAAATCAATAAAGATTCAAAAACTGTTACGTGAAAAGATAACATGTGCCTCCTCATAGAAGAAAATATCATCTATGAAATGCTCTTGCCAAAAGTCAAAACTGAGCCTGATCTAGGTTCAACTAACAATTTACAGGAAATTAACAAAACTAAAGAACAAGAAAACTGCACCAATGGGGTAAAATCAGCAAACCCAGACAATCAAATTTTTCAACAAATAAATTTACCAAGAAAAAGAAATGGAGCGAAATCTTAAAAGAATTAAAATCACTTTTTGCTAAAAATTATTAAGTACATGGGCATTCACTGTCTACTTTTATACATTAAAAACTGTTCACAGTTTTTTAAAAAATAAGAAATGATTAAAAATAAATTTAAAAAATAAGAAATATTTAAAAATGTAAGCAACTCTATAAAGGATTAAGAATCCTTATCTAGAACAGTTCAGTAACAGCTCCCATTACTTAGTGTTCAATATATCCCAAAAATTAAGTTTTACTAATTTAATTCTACTACATTAAGTTTCTACCTTCCTAAACTGATTCTTGAAATTGGAATCACTTTTATATGACCACTTGATCAACATTTTTCTAGCAATTCTACTGACAACAGAGTAATCTACTTTTCTTTGGAAATATGTGATTCAAAAATCAGCTTACCAAAACTTATTAAGATTATCCATTGACAATTAAATGGATTTTAAAAATGTGGTATAATCATATAATGGAATACCAAAGTAACAAAAACAATGGACTATAACAGACGCAAAAACATGGGTAGTTCACAGATATGTTAATGAAATAAACCAAACATAAACCCTATGGTATGATTTCATTCATGTGAAGTTCAAAAACAGACAAAATTAGCCTGTGGTGAGAGTTCAGAATAGTGGTTACCTTTGAAGATACTAACTGAGAAGGCTACAACAATGTGTAAGGTTCTACACTGTCTATTAGCTCAGAGATAACAAATATGACACATGTGTGGGCTGCTACTCCACCTCTGAACAGCCACTACTAACTGATCAGAGATCAAATAAGAAATTGCACCTAAGGTGAAACTTGCTAGACAGGTGATTTAAGTTTCCTTCCCCTTCTAATGTTCTATCAAATGTTCTATCTACTTGGAATCAAACACACTTGCAGTGAACAGCTTAGACACAGACAGATATAATATACACAAGCTAACTTAAGAAGTTAGAGCCTCAAAATACAGAAATTCATCATCTTTAAATGTACAGTCTTTTTTTTTTTTTAAGAATAAATCATTATACATTTCTCTATTTCAGATGTAAAATTCTAGAAAATAATCAAGTTTAAGTGGAAAAAGTTTACTGTATCTTTCTCAACTCCCAACTTCTGCAAAATAGTATTCTTTAACATGAACTATATCCTTGATACTCAGGTGTATTTAAGTATGCCTGAAGAGATTCCTACAAAAAGAATACTGAAAAGCTTCCTGGAAAATCAACTAGGAATGTTTGCCTTATTACTTAATCTCAAGGCACATAGACAGCCAGTTGCAGATTTACACAGAATTCGTAAAGATGAACACCATGACAGATGTTTAGACAATTACATAATTCTACGTGTTACTTCTAGCACCTTCATGTGGCCTTCTGAACATCTAAAGCCTCTTCCTATAAAGCCATTCCCCACTAAGTGTTCCACTCCAAAATTTCAATTCCTCCTTCTCGGTTCCTATCAAACTCTCATTCCCTCAGCCCAACTTTCAACTATTAGAAAAATATACTGACTCAAGTCAGAGGAAAAAAAAATTTTTTTTTTTTGCCTTTTTTCCAGGGGAGAAAGTCGAAGTCAGGGAAAGGGAAGGAAATAACAGTTGTCTGGAAAATAACAACTGTCAAAAAGTGAAAATAGAAAGGGTGATTCATTAGTCAAAATAGAAAATAAGTGCTTACTATGGGCCAATTACTGTGCCAGGCACCAGAGATATGGTAGTCAAGATAAGGCCACTCCTGACAGAGGCTACACTAGCCAGGAAAAATAAGTAACTAAAGTAGTATCAATGCAACACATAACCTGAGCCATATAGTCATAACATAGTCTTAGAAATCATGGAAGGCTTCCAATGAAAAGATAAGTCAACAATATAGCAACATCTGAGAGATAATATGACATAGTCAAGGAACTGCAAACACTACAGAGGCAAGGAATGAGGCTTAGCGATCATGGGAGGCCATGGAAGTCACTTTAAGGAACTGAATCTTACCTCAAAAAGAACAATTCTCTAAAGGAGACTTATTTGAGGAGCATAAGTGTAACTTTTTAGAAGTCTCTATCAGCCTACTTCACCCATTACTGCAAAGGTGATCAAGAAGGGGAAGGTGTGAGGAAATACAAAAAAGGAGAGACTGAACAATACTCAGGAGATTTAAAGTATACTCAGACATTCTGAGTTAGAGTTACACTGCTTGGAACACATTGAACACAGGTGCTCAATCATATACCTCAATATGTACTACCTGCAAAGAGGAATTATGGAGGTGGGAGATGAAGAAGAATCAAGAGCTCAAACAAACTTAACATTACTATCTTAACTGAGAAGTCTTACCAAGAACTATATTTTTTAAAATTAAAGATACAGTTCTTACTGATTTTTATCTATTATTTTTAAACAAGACTGGCTGGTAATTTTTGTTTTTAACTTGGTTCAATTTAAAAGACACTATTCACCTTGTTATACATATATCTAAGCATGAAGTCCAGTAGAAATGATTTCCCTTTACGAAAAGCTCCTGCCACGGATACCACTACTATGTTTAGATCTCGTATGTGCTCCTGTAGCAATATCTGCTCCAAAGCTTCTTCATCAAGCTCAAAGTTATGGTCATCTTCATGTGCAAGAACAATCTGTACTGGACATGGTTTCTTCATAACCTCATCAGAGTTTACTAGGTCATCATCTTCATAATTCTCACCTAGAGTTAAAAAAAGAGAGAAACAGATTACTTTAATTTCTGCATTCTAAACTTTTTCCTAAAGGACCACAACTAAAGCAAAATTTCAAATAATTTCTTCACCATTATAGGTCACTTGGAAATAGTTACAAAAGTGATGCTCAAATGCATACTGAACATCTCACTTCCTCTATAATATTAGATAGGACCAAGAATACCAGTCACTTTCCTACTATATATACAGATAAGCAGCAATACTAAATATGGCCTCAATTAAGTCTTCACAGCTAAATGTGAGCAGCACTGTTCTTGAACACTGTATTCATCTATAAACAACTTCTGCTACTGTATGCACACAGAAACTATCAATTTCACCTAATAATTCAGATTCCATTCTTCCCCCCAGACTCACTTGGAAATAATTCCAAGTTACAAAGACTTAAATATATATATTTATTTATGTGTGTGTATATATATATATATAAGTATATACATATATATATAATTGTTAAGATCCTAAAAAATTTTCCAAAATGGCACATGATAAAGCTAATGGGTCCTAATTTAATAAAAGTTACCTAAAAGAATAGCTTTCCTTATTAAAACAAAGCACATGATTAATGTTTTAGTGGAAGACACAAAGACACAAGAGGACAATTAGTGAGGGACAGAGTTTCATTTGCCTCTAGGACCCTTTCTCACCAAACACCATAGATACTGCTTCAAATTACATAACTCCTAAGAAACAGCTAGTTCAGTTGGTAAAGAATCCGCCTGCAATGCAGGAGACCCCAGTTCGATTCCTGGGTTGGGAAGATCCCCTGGAGAAGGGAAAGGCTACCCACTCTAGTATTTTGGCCTGGAGAATTCCATGTACTGTATAGTCCATGGAGTCACAAAGAGTTGGACACAACTGAGTGATTTTCACTAAGAAACAGCTATATAAACTCTTTTTGTTTACCCAGCACACAAAAAGAAGTTAACCTTTGCAGAAGAACTTTACTGAATGGTGATGAAAAAGTAACAATAGAATATGTAACAAAAGAGAGAATTTTCTAAAGTTTAGGTTTCTATTTTGTTCCGTTCTGTTTTTTTAAACCCACCTAATTGCTAGTTTCGGCTTCCCTGGTGGCTCAGTGGTAAAGAACCTGCCTGCCAATGCAGGAGATGCAGGTTAAGTCTCTGCCTTGGGAAGACCACCTGGTAAAGGAAATGGCAACCCACTCCAGTATTCTTGCCTGGGAAATCCCATGGACCGAGGAGCCTGGCAGGCTACAGTTCATGGGGTCACAAAAGAGTTGGACACAACTTAGCTAGTTTCAGAGGCTTTGTACAATAATACCTCGTCTGCCTTTCTTCCCCATCAACTGCTTGACCCCACTAGTACACTCCTCGGGATCTTATCCTTTCCCACGTCAATGTCTGTAAGAGACTCTCCCCCTTGAGCCTGTCTACTAAGGGCCAGTTTCCAATCTAAGGAAATATATAGCATCTACTACGTTCAACCCAATGAGAGCCTCTCCTCTCAGAGGAGGAGACAGCCGAGGAGTGGCATACCGTTAGTGTACCAATATCAGCCCACAAAGACACTATTCTCAGAGCAGAAATTACATACCTACATTAATGAATTTTCAGTCTCTTCACAAAAAGAAACATCTAGACTATGTGATTTCCAAAGACTACTAGAGACTTCAGGCTTCCCAGGTGGCAAAGTGATAAAGAATCCACCTGCCAATGCAGGTTCAACCACTAGGTAGGAAGATCCCCCGGGGGAGGAAATGGCAACCCACCCCAGTATTCTTGCCTGAAATATTCTACGGACAGGGGACCCTGGCAGGCTACAGTCCATGGGGTCACAAGAAGTTGGACACGATGGAGCGACTGAGTATGCATGCACATTAGAGCCTTTACCTTCACTTTATGAGGCACAATTAACTGTACAAAGTAAAATCAACACTATTTCAAAAGGTGCTGCAAACAGTAACAATACAAAGACCAAGCAATTTCAAAGGGTGGCACCAGTAGTAAAGAATTTGCCTGCCAATGCAGGAGACATAAGAGATACAGGTTCGATCCCTAGGTCAAGAAGATCCCCTGGAGGAGAGCATGGGAACCCACTCCAGTATTCTTGCCTGGAGAATCACATAGACAGAGAAGCCTGGCAGGCTACAGTCCATATGGTCTGTCCAAAGAATCAAACACAACTGAAGTGACTTAGCACACACACACACATAAAGACCAAACAATTTCAAAGAATTTTAGAAAATAACAGAAAGCAATATTTAATTAAAGAGGATATTACCACTGCTTGTTTCAGTACTATAAAGATACAGCCAGGTATGCTATCTGAATGCACAAAAAAGTAAACTTCCCAGGAAAAATCTAACACAGTTACATTCCAATTTAATATATCATTAGGTGAGTCTAGATAATTACCACACAGTATGCAAACTGTGTGATTAAAACCTTCCAAGCCTAATTAGTAGTTAAGAATGAACCAGGAAGCAAAACTGTCTAGATGTATGTCTTTTAACTTCTCTGTGCCTGTCTTCTCATACATAACATGGGGATAGTCACAGCACCTACCACATTAAGTTGTGATCAGGATTCAATGAGTTGAAGTATGCTTAATACATAGTAAGCATTATATGCACTTGTCATAAGGTGACAGTAAATGGCTCAGGGGTAAAGAATCCACCTGCCAGTGCAGGAGACACAAGAGATGAAAGTTGGATCCTTTAGTCCGGAAGATCCCCTGGAGAAAGGAAATGGCAACTTACTCCAGTATTCTTGCCTGGAAAAATCCCATGGACAGAGGAGCCTGACAGGCTACAGTCCATAGGGACGCAGAAAGTCAGACAAGACTGAGCACACACTGCAGTGTAATTTTAAAATAATCAATCCCATAGCAGAAGCTTTTATCTACAACCGTAGAATGCTAAATCTCTACAGTGACCTTTAACTGACCAGGGTCGCTATGTAACAACATCACCATCTACTCATTTGCAGGGACACACCTGAGGCCTGTCCATGATACATTTCTCCTTTTCCATACCCCTAAATCTAACCAAGGTCTTAAACCTGTCTTCACTCAAAATCTCTACTGATACCATCCTTACTCTCATTACCACCATCTGTCAGGGAATTAAATAAATAGTCTCGTTTAGGTACCAGAGACAGAGCAGAGTAGGCCTCTGACCTGGCTTCTAAACCGCCTGGACGCTGCCCGGGAGTGAGCGGGGGGTGACCGCCTGCTGTGAGTGCAGGACTTGCAGATAAAAGGGGGGAGAAGATGGCTGAGCCCCTCAAGGGGGCCTGGCCAACCAAGCCCCAGGCTTAACAACATTCCAAGTTTTACAAGACAAAAACAAACAGCATTAACATGAAACTAGGCTTGCAATTTGGTCACATATTGATGATGATATCAATTTGAGTCATGGGATTATAAATGGGAACCTCGAACTGCAATTTTTGACGTCTCACCCACAGAGTGGACACCTGGGACCTTTTCCCAATTGGGACTCCAGATGTGCTGCGTCACGAGACTTCCTAGCGTTGTTTAAGTCTGGATGTTGGTCAAACCCAACTAGATGATGTATCCTCTGCTCTTTCTATTTCTCTTTTCTTTTAATGTTAGTATTATTACTATTCTTTTAATGTTAGCTAGATAATTCTCTAATAAATATTTGTATTATTTATTTATATATAATGAGTGGCTTATTTAACAAATCCTTTGAACCTGAAACGAAAGTGAAAGCAAAAACACCATCCTAGCTCACTTAAAGTGTAACCAAACTGGTCTCCCTTCTTGCCCCCTCCTCCAGTCAAACCCTGAGTAGCAACTACTACCAATATTAAATGCCCATGTGATTAAGTTACTCATTAAAATCACTATTACAGAGGATTAACAGCTAAAATCGTACACGTGCCTCATAAAATCCTGTTTAGTTCAATTCAGTTCAGTCGCTCAAGTCATGAACGACTCTTTGCCACCCCAAGGACTGCAGCACACCAGGCTTCCCTGTCCACCACCAACTCCTGGAGCTTGCTCAAACTCATGTCCATCGAGCTGGTGATGCCATGCAACTATCTCATCCTCTGTCCGCCCCTTCTCCTGCCTTCAATCTTTCCCAGCATCACGATCTTTCCCAATGAGTCAGTTCTTTGCATCAGGTGGCCAAAGTATTGGAGTTTCACCTTTAGCATCAGTCCTTCCAATGGATATTCAGGACTGATTTCCTTTAGGATGGACTGGTTGGATCTCCTTGCAGTCCAAGGAACTCTCAAGTGTCTTTTCCAACACAACAGTTCAAAAGCATCAATTCTTTGGCGCTCAGCTTTCTTTATGGTCCAACTCTCATATCCATACATGACTACTGGAAAAACCATAGCTTTTGACTAGACAGACCTTTGTCATAAAACCCTGTACTCACTGCCAAATCTCTCCTGCCCCATTTGGTGCTACTTTCCCCTCTGTAAACTACAAATAGACAAGCTGGTCTTTTTCAGAGCCTTATACCACTAAGCTCTTTCTAGACTCATATATCACCATGCCATTCCTCTGTGTGGAATATTCTTTCCCATGTTGTTCCCCTAATTAATTCCTTAAGCCTCAGTTTAAATGCCATTTCCTCATGAGTATCTTCTCCCAAGGTTCCTAGTCCTCCTACACTCCCCCAAACTTTATCCACCCATCATTTGAATATTTATGTAAGTACTTATTTATTATATGTCTCCCCCCCCCTAGATTACCAATCCTTTGTTTAAACCCTCAATTAGTTTCCCCCTGTAACCAGAAAATAGTGGGGGGAAAAAATCTTCTAAGTTCCTGATCACAGCCTCCACAGTTCTGTGCAATCTAGCCCTCCTGCTGTTCCTTGAATAGGCCAAACCTGTTCCCCACCTTAAAATCTTTGCCTTGTATTCTTCCCTGTCTGGAAAGTTCTGTCCCTGGAAATTCAAGTGGCTTGTTTCTCCATTGGTTAGGTGTCACTGCAAATGTTATCTCCTCCATGTGGCTT